AAAAAAAAAAAAAAAGAGATTATTGTTGCTGCTGGTGTTGTCTGCCTGTATCTATCTGTTTAGTTATCAAAGATGAGGATGAAGAAGAAGGAGGGAGAAAAAAAACTAACTAATTAAAATTGTTATTGACGATTTAGTCTGATCAATTGAGGTTTTGTTATTGTTGCAGATAGTTTATGGAAAAAACCGAGGATTTTTTTGTTTTTTGTTTCGATATGTTTGAAGGAACGAAAGCTTGCAACCATTTTTTTCCCTTTTGCTATACTTAGTTATTTATTTTTTCACTATAAACCAATAGAAGCATATCCTTGTTTTTCTCCTTTTTGTAGTTGTAAAAAATGAATATTGTTGGTCAGCAACAAAAAAAAAGCTTTTTTTTTTTTCTTTACACTAAAACTGATTGATATATCTGAGAACAAAAAAAAAAGGGAAACTACCCCATTAACTTATATTCTGTCAAACGATTGACTAGAATACAGCGGTTGGAGTAAACATTTCTTCTTCTATGTTGGTCTTATTTTTTTTTTAAAGATCAAAATGAATCTGATTAGTTCATTTATGCACATTTTCACTGTGGTTCATTGAGCCATAACTTATAAAACAGTTCAATAATTCAATGTGTTCACCTAATTCAGCATTTAACCACAAACTAATACTGCTGACTTACTATAGTGTTGCTGTTTTGTTCATAAAAAGTTATGCACAAATTAATTCTATACAAATGATGTTTTGTTGCTGTAGCTGTTTTCTCTTTTTTCTTTATTAGTACAACTAATTTTGCTGATTATTTACTCCTTACTATTCAAAAGCTAAAGTACTGGTTGATGGTACAGTATCGGACAAGGAAACGGGGAATTGGATTTGTAACCAAACTAACAGAATTATTGGCAAAAATTGGCCAGTGCTTTTTTTTTTTTGTCTGTTTTGCTTTTGGTTTTTTTTACACCATTGACTTTTACAAGGACTGTATACATTCGGTATTGGTCGTATTTTTTATTTTTTCTCTATATTGTAGTTATAAATGAGCTGTCTAAACGGTCAACATTGTTGCAAAAATAAGAGGACGAGGTGATGGTGATGGTGGAGGTGGAAATGGTGGTGGTCGTATTGAAAAAAGAATCTTTTGTGTTGGTTTTTTCTTCAGCTTTTTTATACTATTCTTATGCACATGCATATTTATTGATACATACATAAATGTATATGCAACAAACGTTGGAGAGCACCCGAAAA